GTTAAAACTAACCATATAACAGAACTCAAGAGACTTGATTGCAACCAACTACAACAACAGAGAATGGGGGCTAGGAAAGCCAACCCATAAAAACGATAACCAACAGCAACAGAAAGGTAAGAGGGCTATTCCACAAAAATAGTCATCCAAACCGAGCAACATGTACTCTTAATATAGAAGCCTTAGCATGCTAAAAGAACGGACCAAGTGACAAAAGTGGAGATCAAAGCGGAAGATCATATGCCACAATATTGTACTCTCCATACTCGACTACTCTGATTCTGACTTAAGCATCGGAGCCTGTGTGACAAGAGCCACACCGGTCTTTAGTGCTCTTATGTTTTGCAGGTCTCGTAGATCCTTTTTATTCTAGAAGATTGGGTGCGAATTTGGCGTCCTGGGATTCCGCACCAACAATACTTATTTCCTACTAATAGGTCGTGAGTTCGAATCTCCACCCAAAATGTTGTACTAAAAAAACTATTATATTTAATTCATTTTTCTTTTTCCTTTTCTCCTTTTTCCTATCTTAGTGTTTAAGAATGCATTTTATTGGGGATTCAATGAAAACAAAGTTGGTTTTAGTGTCAGATATGTGCTTGGTTTCAAATTTCAAAATTGAATCTCAATTTAAAAGATTATTCAATGTATTTAGTATTTATATTGGTAAACTAATGGTAGTAGGTACTACCATGCTACGATCAGAGTTGAACAGAGAATGGAGATTAAATTATTGTTTTATATCCAATTATTACAAGAGAGAGAGAAAGAGTTGAAATTATGGCAATCATAGAGACAAAAAAACAAAAAGAAGCCTTCAATCAGAGTTGAAAAGAACAAAGAGACAGCCCATAAGTTTTTTATAATTTTTATTTTTGAATACGAGTGAGAAACATGTAACGTATCAGTAAATTCTATTACCCATTGATATATAAGCATTCATATAATGTATATCAGTACTCATATTTAGATAAATCAATGAAAATAACAAATTCAATATATCACTGATGCATGAAATAATGTATATAAGTGGCATATAAATAAGGTATATATATCATGAAATTATATTAACATTCACATATCAAGTACATCGTTGGTATATCAGCACTTAAAATCAAGAATATGAGTGTTATTACCTCCTTCGGTAGTATAACAAATCAAGTATTTCAATGTTATATCAACATATATCAGGTATACTAAATATACATAATATATCAAGCATATAATTGGTATATCAATATTCATATTAGGTATATCGTTGGTATCTCCAACCAAGATGTTGTGAGTTTCGAATCTTCACCACCCCACATACATGTCGATGTATTAAAATCAAGAAAAATAAAAATATGAAAGCCACATGGGTGACAGGAGAGAGAGGGATCGATCACACATACTTATGCAAGGGGCATCTTGGAATCTTGGATAGAAAAAGTAAGTGGCCTACATAAACTTTGGTTAAATGACAAGTTAGTCTCTAAACTTTAAAAGGTTGCAATAGGTTCATAAAATTTTTATTTTATGTCTGATATATTCTTGAACTTTTAATTTGGTGTCTAATAATTTTATGACTTACAAACCTATTAGACACAACATTGAAAGGTCAGGTCTCATTAGACATAAAATTCAATTTTTTATCTAATAAAAATGGGAGTTAAAAAAATTTCAAATACGTCAAAACTTAGTTACTAGAATTATGAAAGTTGAAAGATATATTAGCTACTTTTTAAAGATTATTAAACACAATTTTGAAAGTTTGGAGATTAGATTCATAGTTTTAACCAAAATTTTCCTATGTTATCAGAATGTGGGACCAGCGGAAGCATATGAAAGCCGCTATAAATATGTAGTTGGGAACAGCAATACAGCTCAATATATAGGAACTTCACCAATTTTTCCAAAAGAATTCGTTAGATTTTCACTTGAAGAAGCAATTATGTTTCCTCAAGTTTCTGCTTCGAACATGAAGGCTCCACATGTTTCTGATACCAAACATCGACCCATTGCTTATTTTCATCCCAGTATTTGGAAGGATCATTTTCTTGCACCAATTTATGAAGCATTGGTCAACCCATTTTCTTTGTTTATTTTAATATTATTTTCATCCCTGTTGCACTGTGCCATTTCTCGAAAGAAACATATATTTTAGTATGACAGTTAGATCAAAATATAACCTTGTTTAAAATTGTTAAGGCTTATTTAATCTGTACATCTTTCAAAATACACCTCATTTGTCACATCACAATCCTCAGTCTTTTCTTGGATCAAACAAAAATCAAAAAATTACACCAAAAGGCAAAGCACCGACTGCCAGTGCCAACCATTTCGAACAACAACAAAAAAACGTGGTATTTCTAAGACAAAAAATCTGGCCTCTCTCTATATCAACCATTAAATTGATAAATTTAAACCATTGGTTCCTCGGTTTGGGCAGCTTTCATTAGGAGGCTACCTGTAATTCGTCCTTATATAAGGTTATGGTACCTTCAATACACAGTTGTCCAATCAAGTTGAGCTGTCCAAATCTGTTGGAGTCGGATATTCTTTTCTTTTTTCTTTTTCTCCCTTTTCTCCCATTTAAGGATGCGATGGTAATTTGAAAATAAGAGATTTAATAAAATTATTTTTAGATATGTACTTGATAGTAAATTTAAAAATTGAATCTAAATTTAAAGAATTATTCAATGTGTTTAATAGTACATTTTTAAACTATAATGGTATGGACCAACTAAATACTTAGTTAAATCTAAAATAATATTAATTAATTTTATTACCATATATGTCATAAGTTTGGTAGAATTACAATATATTATATTTTACGTCTTTTAGTTTTAACAAAAAAAAATTTATATCATAATATAATATATTTATCAAAGTTTTTATTTTTCTGAATGTAATTATGCGTTTCAAATTTAGAATTTGAAAATATTGAAAACATAAAAATGTCATAATTTCCATCGTTTTGATTACATAATCCGAAAACCATATTCTAAAACAAATCTATCAAACAATATATTCACTGAATTCATTTGATTCAATATATCCGAATGGATTGCACCAATCCACAAATTGAGTTTTCTTCTTTTATTATTTGTGTTGAGTACAATAAATGTGAGAATAGTAGATTGAACCTCAACCTCCAACTTTTGAAGGAAGAGCAAGATGCTTTAACTGTTAAGTTAAGTTCATGTTGACGTTTTCCTTCCTTTATTGAATATAACTTTTACGATAGATATATAGAGTTATTGAAGACAATAAATATAATGTCGTGGTAATGTAGAGTACTTACTCAATTAAACTATGTTCAGGTTGGCGAATTCATAGATTGAGTTTTAGATTCTCAAAAAGAAAAATATACGGATACCTTTTCTTTTCATACATTAAATAAAAGATTAATTATTTCACAAATTTGTTAATCTTTTAAATCCCTCGTGAAAGATTAACAAATCTCTGAAATAATTATAATATAAATTAATTTTAATTAGTAAAAAATATAAATCATATCATGCATATTAGATTTAATTAGTCTATATTTGTATTTTACATGAGAAATTATTCTATTAATTACAAGACAAATATGTATATTACATAAATGTTTGCATTCCACATGGTAAGAAACTTATATTGTTATCCTCAGTTTTTTCACCTTCTGCGTCTTCAGCCAAGAAACACTTTTGTTTATTATTATTTTTGAGATATGAGTTTGGGTCATACATAAATACTTTTTAGAAAAATCATTATCGAAACATAAAATGAGAGGCCACTCTCAAGCCAGCAGAGTGGTAGCATCAACAACACATTCTGAACACTGAAAATTAATGCTGTGGATCATATGCTTATTGATGCTCTTCTTTGTGTGGCCTAATTTATTTGTACCAGTCTTGGTGTTAACAAAAAAAATATATAAATATATAACAAAATAATATAATTAAATTTTTTCTTTATCATTTTTTAGGTACAAGTGAGAAACATGTGAAATTTTATAGTTCTTTTGGAGTACCAGTGAAAAACATGTACCAGTCAGCATTAAATTCTATTACCTACTGATATATCAGCACTCATATTAGGTATATCATTGGTATTCAACACTCATACTAAGATATATCAATGGTATAACAAATCAAATATATGAATGCTACATGAAATAAAGTATATCAGGTATATATATTGTGTAAATTATTGATATATTAACATTCATATTAAGTACATCGTTGGTATATCAGCACTCAAAATCAAGAATATCAGTGCTATTACCTCCTTCGGTAATATAACAAATAAGGTATTTCAATGGTATATCAACATTCATATCATCTATACTAAATATACCTAATATATCAAGTATATAATTGGTATATATCGGCATTCATATTATGTATATAGTTTATATATCTTATCAAGTGGATATCAACGTGCATGTTGTTGTATTAAAAAGAAAAAAAATAAATGAAAGCCATATGGGGACCGGAAAGAGAGATAGATGAGTGGTATGTCGTGCGTACTGGGCATTTTTGATAAAAAAAAAAATAAGTGGCCTACATAAACTTTGGTTTAATGATAAGCTAATATGTCATAGGTCTCTAAATTTTAAAAAGATTATAATAGGTGTTTAAGAATTTTTATTTTGTGTTTAATATATTCTTGAATTTTCAATTTTACATCTAATAGCTCCATGACATACGAACGTATTAGACAGAACATTGAAAGGTTTGAAAGGTTAGGTCTTATTAGACACAAAATTCGATTTTTTATCGAATAAAAAACCTAACTATTGACACAAAATTGAAAAGTCATAGACGTATGAAAGTTAAAAAATATGTTAGATATTTTTGAAAAATCAATGACAAGTCCTTTAAGTTTAAAAACGAGGTTTGTAGTTTTAACCCATAAGTTTTTATGAGGGATTTAATGTGTTAATTATCAGGGTGTGGGACCAGAAAAGCACATGACAGCGCCTATAAATATGTAGTAATGAACAGCAATACAGCTCATATACAGGCATTTCACCAATTTAAACCAAAAGAATTTGTTAGATTTTCACTTCAAGAAGCAATTATGTCTCCTCAAGTTTCTGCTTCTAACATGAAGGCTCCACACGTTTCTAATACCAAACATCGACCCATTGCTTCTTTTCATCCCAGTATTTGGAAGGATCATTTTCTTGCACCAATTTATGAAGCACTGGTCAGTCCAATTTTCTTTGTTTATCTTAATATATATGTATCACCATGATTACTTGTGACCTGCTTTAATTTATTTATCATTCTTTTTTTGAGTACTTTTGTATCTCAGGAAGTAGAGGATGAAGTGAAAGAAGAAAGGGAGCAGTTGAAAGAGGAAGTGAGGAAGATGCTAATTGTCGTCGTGGAAAATCCTTTTGATAAGCTTAAGTTGGTTGATTGGATACAAAAATTAGGGGTATTTTACCACTTTGAAAAGGAGATCAATCAAGTCTTGGAACACATGTATGTGACGTATAAAAACTTCTTGAATGACTTTGGCGATGAAGATCTTAATACCGTTTCTCTTTTATTTCGAATGCTTAGACAACAAGGTTACAGAATTTCATGTGGTAAGTTCAAAGAAACAAGAATTACATTATCTTTTTATAACATACCTAATTTTTTTTCGGCCTCTCAAAATTGGAGCAGATATATTCTCAAAGTTTATGAAAAATGATGGACAATTTAAAGAATCATTGAGGGGTGATACAAGAGGAATATTAAGCCTGTATGAAGCAGCACACCTGAGGATACACGGAGAAGATATTCTTGAGAAAGCACTTGATTTTACAACTAATCATCTCAAAAAACTGGTTGCTGATTCAACCTCTCCATTTACCACTGAAATTAAGAATGCCTTAAAGTGGCCTATAAGAAAGGCTCTCCCAAGAGTAAAGGCAAGAGATTACATGGTAATCTATCAACAAGATCCTTCACATAATGATGCATTGCTTACTTTCTCAAAATTAGATTTCAACATATTACAAAAACTTCACCAAAGCGAGTTGAATGCAATCACAAGGTGCATATATATTTCTACCTTTAATACTCTCTCATTCACAATGTCAAGTATGAATATTTCAGGATTAAAAAATATTTGCAAAGAATTTTGCACAATATGTTAGATTTATGAAATTGCTTATCCAAAAAAAAAAGAAAGATAAGTCTTAAAATGATTTTTAAAGGAATTGGTTCTCAGCTAAATATATGTTTTACATATCTCCAGGTCATAACCATTTATGCTTTTGATATTTTGATTTTTAATTTTTGGTTTTTTGGAAGAAAATCATACATATTTGATAACGATCTTTTCTTTCCTTCATAAAAACTTCCTCAACCAGTTAAGCCTGGCTAAGTTCACATTTGACAACTTCGTTTTTTTTTTTAGAAATTTAATATCCTCACTTTCTTTCCTTATTGTAACTATTATTTCACTTTATTCTCTTCTTTCAAACCAATAAATTTGTATTTTAAAATTTACTGACTTCTAAAATAAGAAGAGTGTTTATTTATTTTATTTTCAAATAGTTCCAAATGTGTGGGCCCGACAAGCTACGTAACATTGTTATCACCTGCGACTACATGTCATAATCTCTTAGTCAGAAATAGATGTCTTAACTACTTTAAGTTATGCTCGGTTAGACTCTCTAATGAGGTTTCTTAAGAAATCAATATAAAGGAACTCATATTAGATTTAAACACGTGGATGTTTAGCCATGTATGGTATTATAATTTAAAGTTTTTATTATGCAAATGAATAACCCTCCTTAAATATATTCTCATGAAAAATTTTAAATAATTGATAATCTATTGATTATTTTTTTTAACATACCGTAAATTACTAGGTGGTGGAAGGATTTGGACCTTCCAAGAACTTTACCTTTTGCTAGAGATAGAATTGTGGAGTGCTACTTCTGGATATTGGGTGTATATTTCGAACCCCATTTCAGCATTGCAAGGAAAATATTGACCAAAGTGACCGCTATGACGTCAATTTTAGACGATATGTATGATGCTTATGGAACATATGAAGAACTCGAAATCCTCACTTTAGCCATCAAAAGGTCATTGTTGCTTCTCCAGTTGTTTAAATTGATTTTATTATTGGGTTTATGTTTGGAAAAAGTTTTGCGTTTAATTAGATTTTCACTTTTTTAGAAATATTACTCAAAAGTTTTGTCACAAATTTGAAAACAAATTATGATTTTCAAACAATAAAAACCAAATCAAAACTTTTTTTGAATCAAATTAGCTCTTTATATTTCAAATTTTATTTGTACAGCCCATGTGCTCGAAATTAACTTGATAAATTTTTCATGAGTAATAAACTTTCAGATGGGATATAAGCATGGTCAATCTACTCCCTGAGTACATGAAAGTTTATTATAAGACTCTCTTAGAACTCTATGAAGAAATTGGCAGAGATATAGGCAAGGATGGAAAGTCATATCAGATTCACTTTGCAAAAGAAGCAGTATGGTATCTTTTCCTCCTTTGTTTTTTTTCCTTCTTATATGTATGAGCATTTTAATTTATCTTTTATTCCAACAGATGAAAAGACTAGCTGAATCCTACTTTAAAGAAGCTGAGTGGTTAAGCAAAAGGTATAGACCAAATTTTGATGAGTATATGGAAGTGGCATTGGATAGTTCAGGCTATGCAGTACTCGCAACCATTTCATTCGTTGGCATGGGTGATATTGCAACAAGGGAGGTATTTGATTGGCTCTCAAAACACCCTAAAATTATTGAAGCCTCAACAATGATTTCTAGACTCATGGACGATGTTATGTCTTACAAGGTAAATGTTGGGAAAAAAATACTTGTGCACACGACAATATGCAAATAACACGAGCAACCCAACGTATTCTAACTAGGATTTTCCCCCTTTCATTGTTATAAGCAAGTCAAAGTTAAAAAAAAAAAACAGTAAAAGAAATATGAGAGAAACAGAAACGACACAAAGATTTATACTGGTTCACCCCAAGCACGAGCTATGTCCAGTTTTCTGCAATATGGAGGTTCCACTGTATTGGGAAGATTACAATGGGTCTCACTAGACGCTCTACAAAACTCTCTCCTAGATGCTATAACAATATCCACCAAGCTTCTAATTACTACAACAATAGGTACTTATGAATATGGAATGAAAAACCTCACTAACCTCAAAAGAACGGACTATCAACAACGCTGTATAGACTATTTTCTCTATTTTTTCTCTCTCTCTCTCAACACAACTGCCACCACGCTCAATATTTTGGTTTCTTTTTTCTTATCAGCAAAACCTAAAAAGAAAACTTAGTAACATATATATAAGAATGGCGGCAGACGTTGGATAACAATTAAAAACAATTTGAGCTTCCAATTTTTAGGCTCATTTGTGGTTTTGGCTCCACGTCCCAACAATAAATTGGTCACGGCTTAAAAAATAACTAAAAAAATAGTGATATTTTGTGTTAAAATATATATTTGCTTCTTTTTTCAGTTTGAGCAACAGAGGGAACATGTTGTTTCTGCTGTAGAATGTTATATGGAGCAATATGGCTGTTCAGAAGAAGAGGCATGTGTTGAATTTAATAAGCAAGTCGCAGAAGCATGGAAGGACATAAATGAAGCTTGCCTTCATCCAACGACTGTTCCAATGATTTTTCTAATGCGTGTATTAAATCTTTCTCGAGTTATGGCGCTACTTTATGTAGACGAGGATGGATATACAAATTCTAAGGGTAGAACAAAATTTCTTATCGAGTCTCTACTTGTTGACCCAGTATCCTTGTGAATGTAACTAGGAGACAAGTGGGTTCTTGAAACCCAATATTTAAGGCCCACTAGGGTCCGTTGTAACATGAAAAATTTACAAAAATAAATGTTTTTTGCAGCGGTACAGAAATAAGAATTTTAGGACAGTATGACCCCCGCTATCCAACACAAACCCAATACTTGCATTTAAAACACATGATTATTAGATTATTATTGAGGAGGACCAACCAAAGAATAAGTCGATTTTTTTCTCAAAAAAACAATAAAAAATAAATAAGTCAATTTGGATCATGACTTTTATTCAAACTGAAGGAGAAGGATCCCACATTGAAAGTTAATTCGTTTTGAGATTGAATTTCATGAAAATTATATGGGATCAGAGCCTAAAAAGTTCAAACGAACATCTAGCCCAAAAAATGGGATCCGACCAAGATTTTTTAACCCAAAAGAGGAACCATCTTTAGGGGACATGTTAATGATCCCATGTTGAGAAGATAAGGGAGACCCAACAATTGTTTATAATAAATAATAGAGTACTCTTCTAACTGTCAATTCATTTTGAGATGGAACCCTATGAATATTGATGGCGGCCCTTTGGCCTTTATGCCCCTATACCTTGAGGGTATGCGATTGTCCCCACACCCGTACATACGTAACGGATTATTGCTTGGTAGAAGTTGCATCCCATGTGGCTTGAACCCAAGTCCTTAAGGATATTCCTTGAAATCTTAAGCCACGTCCCAAGCTATCTCTCGAGGGCCGATCCAAAATGAGATTCGGGAAAGATTGGTAAATCCAAAAAAGACACCATTTTGAGAGACATATTAAAGATCTTGCATTAAAAAGATAAGTCACATAAGAAAGGTTTATAATATAAGTGAGCTCTACTAATTTTCATTGCCAATTTTTTTAGATGGAATCCTATGAATATTGATCTGTGTCCAGCCAATATTGGTGAACCCAAAAGATGTGCTATCTTGAGAGGGCTTGTTAAGGATAAGATAACGGGTCTAACAAGAGTTTATAATATAAGTGGACTACTTCACTCATTGCCAATTAGTTTTGAGATAAACCCCTATGAACATTGTTATGATATTAGAGCCCAACAAGCTTAAGCAAGCATCCAGTAAAAAATGAGACTTGACCAAGATTCGTAAGCCAAAAAGAGCCACCATCTTGAGGAGACATGTTAAATATCCCACGTTAAAAATCAATTGATTTTGAGACGGAACCACATGAATAGTCGTAGGTTAAGAGGCAAACAATTCACATCTAGATGGGGAGACTTTTATCATTTAGTAGGCTGCCCCACAACCAAAACAACTAACAATAAGGACCCACTGCACAATTGAAATTGGTAACAAATCTTTAGCCATGCTCAAATATCTTGTTATTAGAGCCTTTATTTGTTATTTAAACTAGATAGGAATATTGATTTCTTAATTAGCAAAAAGAATTTGTTGGCTTTCTCGAGCTTCAATCATACCATATGTTTTGATGATAACAAACTTAATCTACTGATGATTTTTGTGTTTCAAAGTGTTCAAAGTGTAGAGCTTGAAAAGACGAATCCAACGCAATTTGAATCGCTCAAATCGGAGTTCAAACGAAGAAGTTATGACCAAAACAAAATTGGAAAGGAAAATCCTACGTGGATGATGACTTGGACACGCGGACCAACCAGAAGATGACACGTGGCAAGATGCTGACGTGGCAGCTGACGTGGATTCTCAACGGTCACTTTCTGATGACGTGCACTCCAACGGTCGGATTTGATGACGTGGCGGATGACGTGGCGTCCAACAGATAAATTTGAATTTATTAATTTATTAATAAAATTCAAATTATCTTAAAATTGGAGCAATGAATTTGGAGCAATGAATGAGCGACACGTGGCATTTACTATTCATCCAAGTTTGACTGGTCAACTACAGATTATTTTAATATTATTTTCCTCAACTAATCAAGTTGTGACACGTGGTAGCCAACGGCTAGTTTTTGGTTTCTACCCCTATTTAAGCCCGAAAAAAATTTCTAAAAAATACCCAAAAAATTCTCAAAAATCCATAATATTCAGCTGAACCTTTTGAGAGACTTTTTGAATATTTTTCTTGAGTTTTTGGGGTGTATTGAGCGGTTTACTTGGCTATTTGAGATCCTTTAGGTGTTGTGGGATTCCATCTTCTTATCTACTCTTTGGGAGAGTTTTAGTGTGTGAAAAATCCTTATTTCCACACTTATTTGGGTTTCGTTCTTGAGCCCGGTAAAAGGAACGAAGTGTGGGTTTCAATCTTTGTCCCAAGAAAAAGGTTGGGTTTAGTTCTAGATCCCGTAAAAAGAGCTGTTTGTAAGGTTTGGTCTTGATCCCGCAAAAGGACCTGGTTTCCGATCTTGAACCCGTAAAAGGATCGTGCTTAGTGAAAAATCTCGAGAGGTGCTTGGGGAGTGGAGTAGGCCGAGGGTTTGCCGAACCACTATAAATCTCTTGCGTGATGTTTTCTCTATCCCTTACTTTTTATTTATTGCAATTTATCTTTTAAGTATATTTTCTTTTATTGCAAATATATATTGTGCTTATTTTGAATATTTGTTTCATGATATTTTGAGTTGCTTTAAATATTTCATAAATTGTTTTTGTTTAAAAAGTTTACTTGGTTATTTGATTTATGCTTAAATTCGAAAAATTTTAGTAAATTGATCTTCAACACTATTCACCCCCCTCTAGTGTTGCCATACCGATCCAACAGAATGATATCAGAGCGGGTTGCTCTTTTTCGAATCAAAAATATATTTCAAAAACTATTTTGTCTGAGTTTCTCTCTAACAAGTGATTTTGTAGCAAGATTGCTCTTCTTTGAAAATTTTATCTCATAAAAGATTTTGAAAATTATTTGAGAAATTTTTGAAATTATCTTTGAAAATATTTTTTTTGAAAAGTTTGAAAAACTTAATTGTTAGAGCATTATGGCAAACTTTGTGGTAAATGGAATTGTTGAAGGTCAATCTCCCAAGGGAGACCAAAATTGAGAACTGAAAACAGGACCCGATATTTAAAGGGAATGTTGCCCTAGCTGACAGACACGCAAATCCCAAGGGAGACCAAAATTGAGAACTGAAAAGACCAAGGAATGAAATATACCCATTTTCGGGAGGAGAGTTGACGCCAGAGAGGGGAAGTTCACCTGCTGAAACGAGCTGACTGCTTCTTCGTCTCTGTCATTTAGCCATTTTTCTACTATAGGTTGTATTTCTTCTTCTTCCATTTTGTTTTCTTCACCCATTATGAGCTAAATCTCATTTTGGGGGAGCTTCACATGCTGTAACTGACTTGAGACCGAACCTCTAGTTGCTATATTTATTTTTAAGCAAATCTGAATTCATTTCTTCAATCTTCGAGTTACTGTTGGTCGCTGTCTCATGTATGCTAGCTTCTATATTGACCCAAAAGGGCTTGTGGTTGCTGATTTGTTTTGTTTGTGTTTAGCGCTTTTCTATAGCTATAGGGATACCTAAGAATGGGGTCCCCTAATCATGCCTATAGCTTAGGTTTTTTGCTTTGGTATTTAGCAACGAGAGTTGTACTTACTCATGTTTGGGGTGTCTCGGAAGGGAACCGAGTCAAGCTGGACACTAATAAATGTTAGCTACACTAGAGGATAGGTTGATAACTTGTTAAAGCATGCTGAATCTCCCCCGCCTTTTCCATATCTGTTAATCCCCCGTTATCACTTTATGTGCTGCTACTTTCTTGTATTGATAACTTCGAAACTTTTGTCTCTTGCAAGGTTCTGTCGTCATGTTTTGAATTCAAAATAAATGAGAGCGCAAGTGTACACCCATCACAAGTAGTAAAAACGGAACGAGTATTCCGAGTATCGATCCTCAGGGACAAATGAAGTCTTTTTATAGGAAATGTTAATGATCGGAGACTT